TCCTGGTCGCCGGTTCGTCGCCGCCGCCGGCTGTTCCTCACACTCTTGCGGATCCTCGCGCCGACGCTACGTCAGCGACCAGTCCCTGCTAGCCCCCCACCCGAGCCTGCTTCGCCGCCCCTCGTCTCCAGTCCAGCTCCGCCGGTGATGGCGACCGAGCAGCCGTCGGAGAAGAAGAAGCCGCCGCCGGAGAAGAAGGCCCCGCTCCCCAAGGTGGTCACGCTCAACAAGGCGCTCAAGCTGGTGAGCTCCGCCGTTCCACCGCGCCTCGGTTCCTCCTCCTGCTTACCCTTCCCTGCCTGTTCATGTTTTCCTCCTATCTAAAAGGGGTTAGATTCAATCCTCTGTGCTTAGGTTAGGTTATATAGGTGCATGTAGAACTGCACTGCTGTTTTTCTGATCTGGGTAATTATCATGTCTTCCAATCAAGGGTCATACTCACCCATTTAGTATTTCACTCTCAGGCCCAGACATGGGTGGACGGAATGAGTGCGCTGGAGCCGGAGGAACTGAACGATAAAGATTTCGAGGGTCGGCCGTCAGGGTATAATTCGTTTATGCCTTCTTGTTAGCACTCATTCCTGGATAATCTGTGTTAATAAGCTGAAAATTTTGGTGTAGGCTTGGTCTTGGTGCGAGAGTGGCGCCAAATGCGAAGCGGGCAGCTCCCACTGATCCAGTGGAGAGGAGGTTGCTCGGAAAGGTGAATGCGCAGAAGAGGAAGTCTGCGGAGGAGGATAAAATAAATACCCAGGAGGTGAATGAGGCGAGCGACGATGATAGCGGTGAGCCTCAAGGTAGAACCAGTGCTTGTAGCAAGAAGAGGGAATTGCCTTCTGTTACATCAATGCCGCTAGGGAAGAAGGCCAAGTGACAGTTTTCTGTATGCATGAAATACATGGCTTGATGTTCCAGTCACAATTTTGCAAGTGCATAAGATTCTATTAGCATGTACTGCTTAGTGCTTTCACTCTACAATGTGTATTTGCTAAATTTAAGGGCATACCGGGGCTTACACCCTGTCATGTACTGCTTACACCGTGCAGATTTCACACCCTTTTTCTGTTAGATCACCGTCATATAAGCAAAGTGTGCGTACTTGATGGCAAAAACTCGTTTTTTCTGTGATCGCATATAAGCAAAGTGTGCTTGCTTGATGGCAATTCAGCAAACGAAGAGTTTGTTGATGGCAAATAAGCAACTTCCTCTATTTTTTAATGTTTATTGGTACTCCTTCTGAAGTTCACAATAGCCGGATTTGCTCTAGGGTTGTCCTTCTGAAGTTCACTAGAGCCGGATTTGCCATTTGATCCCCTGAAATTTCTACTCCACCTATTCCAACTTCCTGTCGGAGTTGCAACTTTATATCTCTCAGAATTTTATTTTCATTGACTAAATTGGTTTAGATGTTATCTTATTGTTTTATCGATGAAAAAACAGATGTTACCTTATTGTATAGCGAAAAAATGAATCCTTATTTCTCAAGAATATATGTTTGAAGGTGCATCCAGTACATCAAGTTAGTTTTTTATTCTTATGACTGTTTTGGTTTTAATGGAATTGTATGCAATATATGTGAAATGACGCGAAGTGTTCATTCTTCTTG